AAAGAAACTCTTTCCTCTCTTCGTGACGGTGAGAAATTATAAATTATAATCCTCTCGTTGTTTCTGCAGCCAAGGGTAAAAAGGACAAATATAATTTTACGCCGGATACTTTCAACAATGTAGATTAATTGGTAAAATAAAAGATGTGAAAGCGACTCTTATATTATTGGCGGCAATTTCCCAGTGCTGAAAGCAAGTTGCGTAATTCTTTTAACAGTGGATGTGCAAGTATTTGCTTTTATTACATGTGAGGACAAGTGATTCAAAAGCACTTGTTTTTGAATGGAAGTTGATTTAAAGAGATATGAGCTAATTTATTATTAAAATTTCTGTTACTTTTTTATTCATTTTTCATATTTTTTTAAAGTCAGTAAAGGAAATATTGTATAACTTAATAAGTAAATAAAACCAAGAAAGGTTTAATTTAAAAAAACATAATTAGTTTTATCCTATTTATTATTCATAAGCCAAGTTATAATAATATCACTCACTCCCAGTCAAAAATTAAACATAGTTTTCGAGATCCTTAATTAATGTTTGTAATTTTTATGACGTCTCTTTCGAATTAATTTGAGGGAGACTGTGGGCAATTGACAATCTTTTTTCTGAAAATAGTGTACTTTATGAATAAAAAAATAATTTTAATTTTGATTGTATCTTCTTCCATGTTTTACCACTTTATTGGAGAAAAAACGAAATAATTAGATCTGGATTTTATACCAAATATTCAAAAAATTGTTATTGTTTATAATTATGTAATAATTAAATATTCAAAATAAATCACAATATAAATAGATTAATACCCGAGAAAAAAGGTTTGACACATCATAAACATTATTTTGTATCAAATACACTAAACATTTCTAAAAATTGTTTCACGGGATTTATTTCAAAAAATATATTTAATCATCCATCGAATCAATCGCCGACATTATTTTGAGTACTATAAAAATTTCGGATCAAATTGCGGTAAAAAGTACTAGCATCCATTTTAAGACCAAATTAAGGTATAAAGTACCGACACGATGCACCCAAAGTGTCGGTACTTTACACCGCAATTTGATCCGGAAGTTTTTACAATGAAGAGACTACTAAAAATGTACAGAACAATAATAATAACATTCAAAATGATCAGTGTTGCTATCTTATACTATTTTTGTAGTAAGCATTTAATCTGAACTTCAAATGAGCCGGAAATCTAAATAATTTAAAATAACATTTATTTAGTTTACATTCATTGATGAGGTTTTCTATATGAGAGTTGGCAGTTTGAGGAAATAACTAAAAGTTAGAAACTAATATTTTTGGTATTTATTAAAGCGGAAGTAATTTGAGATTTAAAAACTCCATTTTTCAATTAAAAAAAATTATAATGTATACAATAAGTTCTAAACTCAGTGATATCGATTGATCTCGAAATAAAATAGAAATTTTCACTTATTCAAATTTAAAAAAAAAAAATTTATGAAATAGTTGACCTAATTTTCTGAGCGTGGCGTAATTTATGCGAAAACAAGTTTAGTTTTATGCATAATCAACGCTCAAATAATGAAAAATAAAGTTCGAGTAAAAGGCCTTAGAGATTTCACACTGAGAAAAAAAAGTAAGGTCAAAACTACCAGAATATGGTAAATTTTACCGTATTTCTGGCTCTATGGGAACACCAAAAATCTCGGTATGTTTTTTATCGAACACCTAGGTAATGATTTTGTTTAAATTGGGAACAAAATATGGCTTAATTATATGTGATAAAATTTGGTAATTTTATCATGATACCTTAGAGCATGGTTAAAATAATTATTTCGGTTAAATTTGCTTTTAAGTCTTGTATTTTTTACGAATTGTATGGTGAAAGGAATTAGAATTTTGAAAACCAGAATTTCTGGTAAACTGTTACCATGTAAATAAAAAAAACTGGATAAATAGTTTAAATATATCCTGGTTATATTATATATCTTTGCTTTTAATACCATAATTGTGTTTTTTTTACCATGTTGTATTACATAATATTGACTGCGAATTTCCTCATTTTAACTCTATTGTATATTTACTTTCTCTCTTTTATTTAAATTTTGAATGAAAGAAATGATGCAGTACGGTTTTTCGACCAGAATTTTTCAGTGTAATATGCATACATAATTTATACACATCAAAATTTCAATAAAGTTAAAACAACGCATTTACATCGAATGGTGTTACTCGATCACATTTACATCAACGCATTTACATTAACGCACTCAACGCATTTACATCGAAAGGTATTTAGTACTAAATTTTACTATAAGTATCTGTAAGTACTGTCCTTACAGCTGAGGTTGAAAATGTCGCGGTATGGGTAATAAGACCTATAACTTTGAAAACCAGAATTTCTAGTAAAACGTTACCATATGAGCGAAAAAATTACCAAATAGTTTAAATATCTTATATTTTGGCTTTTAAAACTAGAATTATGTTTTTTTTTACCAGTAATGTTAATACTATACAGTACGGTAATTTAACCAGAATTTTTTTCTGCTTGCCAAAGCAGTGAATTTCTACGTGCTTGAAAAAATGGTACAAAAGCACTAATTTCCTAATAAATTCAACATTATAAAGTTTATTTTGAGGTAAACACTAGACGCTTTGAAGTTATTAAATTTAAATTTTAAATAAGGCTAAAAATACCATGTAGAGTTTTATTTGTCATTGATGATTGATTCCTTCAGAAAATTAATAAACTATTTGTTCACTTACAATTAACAGAGTTAAATTAAAAAAGAAACAACGTGATAAGCACAAAAATAAAAGTAAAAAATACTTATATCTTTGTTCTAATCAATTATTTTACTACCATCACACAGGCAACTCTCTATTAAATTATAAACTTTCTTTTACAAAATATTTTTTATAGGTTTGCCTTTTTATAGCTTTATTATAGAAATTCTTTTTCCTTTCAAGTAATGCTCAACTATTTCAATTATTTCAACTAATTTCACCAATTTGTTTATTTACAATTAGCAACATTAAAATAAAGTATAAACAACATGATAAGCACAAAAATGGAAGTAAAAAATATTTGCTCCCATCAATTATTTCATTATCAGCGCATAGGCAACTTTTAAATAATAAGCTTTCTTTTCCAATATATTGTTTGATAGATTTGTCTTTTTATACTTTTTATTATAGAAATTTTTTTTGTTTTTCAATAATTCTCCAAACATTTGAATTTTTTTTTTTCAATAATTCACATGTTATAATCCCAATGATTAAGTAAATAGTCATAAAAATTTAAAGTGAAGAAAAAAATATTGACATTATTTAATTCAATTTACTTTTTATTATTTAGAAATTATTATATGTAATTCTATTGATTTTAGATAAGAAAAAATATTTATTTATTAAAGAAGGCTACAATAATGGTTCTACCCCACAGATCAGTTGGGTAAAAATAAAAGATCATAGATATTTGAGTAGTAATTGTAAAATAAAGAAGTACTATAGTGACCTTCTAAAACTCAATGTGCTCATTTGACGAAATTATGATATTTCTTGAAATAATACTAAGTTGACAAACGTTGTATTATGTGTAAAAATTAGTAAAATACTATGACATAAATTTCAAGAAAATTTGTAACATGCTGCATTAATTTTGAATGAGAAACGAAGAATTATTGAAACACAGGAGGTTAATTAAGTTATAAAAGGCTAAAGGAGTAATTTTAAAATTGCTTTTAAAAGTTTAACTAACTTAAGTTTTACTGTAAAATAATTTTTTATCAAAAAGTTGTTTTGATCTGTCTTATTTTGTATAAGAAAAAATTTAAAATTGAGAATTATTTTTACGAAGTTTTTCTTCCTTACCTAAAATTACAATAGTTTTAGGTATTGATTTATTTAATTTATTAAATTTTTATTTATTATTATTTATTCATTTAATTATAAGGGTAGAAAAGGTTCCATGCTTGGTATTTCAATAAAATAAAACTTTTATTTTTACCATTAAAATGTTTTCAAAGAAACTTAATAAGGTTAAACTTTTTAAGAAGAAATTTATTCGGAACAAAACAGCAACAAATTAAGGTCAAATAATGTTTAACTGTTTATTTAAATTATTTTAATTTAGAATTAGTTTTTAAAAATTTTGAATTAATAATAATAATTCATAAGTTAACGTTAAAGATTTAAGTTAAACGTTAAAGATTGTGAAAGTTTTTTATTTGTCCTTAAAAGTACCATATTTTTAAAATAACAAGCCAAACTAATTACTTTTTTAAACAAATTTAAACAGTTGTTTATAATTTTGAAATATTTCTTTAACGAATTTTATTTGGAATAAACTTTTTTCAAGTCAATTTAAGGATAACTAGCTTCAAATAGTTTAAGTTAAATTTATGATTAAAAAGTAGAACGTAAGGAATTAATATCGTGTTATATAATAATAGGTTTTCAAAAGAACTATCTAAAAAATTTTGCAAGTGCTGTTTAGATTCGTTAGTATGAAAAATTTCTGTTTTAAAAAAAAAGTTATAACAATAATAAAAATCATTAAATTAAAATTCAAGAAATAATTGTAAAATGAAATCAAATAATATTAAACTAAGTTGTAAAGCAATCTAAATTGAAAATAATCTTAGTCTTAATTCTTACTTTTTGATTTTTTTAGAATTTTTATTTGCTCCATTTATCTTTATTTTTACTCATTCCTTTTCTCTTTATTTTTATTCATTCCATTTGCTTTAATTAATATTTATTGCATTTGCCAAATTTTTATTTATTCCGTTAGTCTTAATTTATTCCATTGTGTTGATTCCATTTATTTTAGTTGTTTTTAAAAATTCCATTTATCTTTATTTATTCCATTTTTTTAAAAATCCCATTTATCTTTATTTATTCCATTTTCTAAAAAATTCCATTTATCTTTATTTATTCCATTTTTTTCTTCAGATTAATAATATTTATGTAACTTAAAAAATGGAGAAGTATGTATTTAAATATAAAGGGATGAACTTTAAATTACTTACCTGAACTCCATGTTGATAAAAAAACAACACTTGGCACCCATTAACAGACTATTTTTTTTACGGAAGAAGTTCTCTCAACGAAAAAAGAACTTTCACTAGCAGACGACAAACTAATTGCACAAAAAAATCGTTTGAATTCAACTACCTAAAGACACAATCCAAACTGGTTTTAAAAGAATAGCGCAATATAATTTTGCGAAAGAATATTTCCAAACATTTTAATAATCAAGAAAAAGAAGACAAATATTAATTAAATCGAGCAGTCAATAAATTTTTTCCACTCAAAGACGTGAAATAAATAAAAGAAACTCGAGACGTGCGTGCCGTAGAAAGATCGTCCCACTTCAAACGACTGAACAAAATGATAGTGAGAGCTAAACATACTAGATGCGCGTGTTTCTCCGATCTGTTTTATTTATTCCGTTTTTCGTCGATGTGAATTTAGGTCGAACGGGTTTTTTAAACGCAGCGATCTGGTTTGCCTACACGTGGTGAATAGTAGTAATTCTTTCATAAAAATGCTTTTAAGTGAAAAAGAATGGGTTATTTTAAAAACAATTTGTCATTTGTATACATAAATTTCTTTTTGAACAAATGGCTTCAAAAGGAAAAAAAGGCATAAATCAGTTTTAGAAATGTTCTTCCAGGATTTGATCATTGCATAGAAATAGCTCAATATCAGATTTTGATTTATTTTTCTTCATATAACTATATTGAATTCCTGGGTTTAAAAATAATACTAACAAAATAAAATAAAACAAGTTTATGACAATGTGAAATGTGCTTTATATTATCTCATAAGAAAAAAGATTTATTCTACTTATATTTTTTATTTACATATCATAAATTTTTTACAAATTTATTAGATACTTTGTATAGTATGTATTTTCTTAGCTATGTAAATTTTGGTAATTCAGATTTTTGAAACACGGTGATCTGGATTGCCCACAACATGTGAAAGGTAGTAATTCTTCAGTAAAAATACTTTTAATTTATATAAATAGGTTTATTTTAAAAGAAATTTGTGATTTATATTCATAAATGTATTTTTGAACAAATTCCCCCAAAAGAGAAAAAAATGCATAAATCAATTTAAGAGTATCTTTTTTTTAGAATTTAAATTTTTCTTTCATATCAGCAACTGATTTGAGTTTCTTTCATAAAAATATTGAAATTTTTTTAAAAATAATTATAATAAAAAACCCTAATTAGAAAATGTAAAGCACAATTTTTTTCTGTTTAGAATTCTTTGACATTGCACATGGTATTAGAAATGTACTTGATTAGATATTTGCATACACAGTAAACATTGTGTAGTACTTTCTCTCGGAATTTGATGTTGAGTAATCTAAAGAACTGTGTGAAGGAGCACTTTTTTCAAGTTAATACCAAATAGAACTTTCGTATACAATTTAAAAGGTACAAATAAATCTACGACAGTTTTAATGGAAAATGTTTACACCTAGACGCACTTTCAAACACTACTTTAAATATTTTTGCCTCTGAAAGCACCGATGTTGGCGTACTTTAGATATCGTTAGAAGATTGTTTATATTTGAATACAAGTAAATGAGAGTTTGTGGTTGTCTTTAGTGTTGCTGTACATTTACTAAAAGAAAAGTTCACAATTAAAAAATGCTTGTTTTTAATTATGTAGTAAGGATATTTATATTTTAGTTTTTAGTTCTTGTAAACTGTATTAAATAATTTTACAATACTTGAGTTCTGCTAAGCCTAGTTCAAATTCGTCTAAATATTCTCTCTATTGCGCGTGTATTTTTTATTTACTATCTAATTTTATTTTAAGAATTAATGCATATGTGTATCTTAAATTAATGAATCTTATTTAAATTAAATTAGTGACACATATTTTATAATGTGTCGTAAAAATAACTTTATTAGCTCTTATGAGTATATTATATTACTGTAATTATAAATACTTGTGTTAGAGTGAATACCAAAAATGGTAAATAAACAAACTGTATTGGTTCAACAATACTTTGGCAGAACAATTCTTATCATAATTAAGAATTAGTGCATATATGCATCCTAAATTATTGAATCTTATTTAATATTGTGTTGTAAAAATAAATTTACTCACTCGTATTAGTATCTTATCTTACTGTAATTTTAAATATTTGTGTTACTGAATACCAAAAGTGGTAAACAACGATACTGTATTAGCTCTACAGTACATTGGCAGAACAATTCTTATCATAATTCTTATTAATTCTTATCATAATTAAGAATTAATGCAGACGTGCATCTTAAATTATTGAATCTTATTTTATATTGTGTCCTAAAAATAACTTTACTAACTCTTATGAGTATCTTATCTTACTGTGTAACTATAAATATTTGTATTACTGAATATCAAAAGTGGTAATAAATAACAATGTTGTCTCGGTTCTTCACTACTTGGGGTGCAAAGCAGTTGCCAAATTTTTTGAGATTAAGATATACTACAATTTTTTATAATGTAGTATGTATTTTTTTTTGATATCTGTATTTTTGGTATGATATTTAGTTTTTATACACAGAGTGCATGAGTTGAAAATTGTATCTTAGGTATGATTGCAATGGGATTTGTTAGTATCTTCATTTTTACTAACTTTCTTATTTTTAGTTCAATATGATTTTCATAAGTTATTTGTGGTTTAAGTTAAAAAAACAAATAAACTATTAAAAATATTTTAAGTGCTATTGAAACGACTTTGCAAGTTTGTTTTTCGCAAGCAATACTATACACCCCTTACGCATAAGTTATAAAACTCTGTCCCCCAACTTATAAATAGCCATTAAGTCTTAAAATAAAATTACTCTAAAACTTTAGAAAATGTGCTAACATTTTGAGCATGAAATTTCATTTTTGAAAATAAGTTTGTCTCATTATTTTTTTTTATCATTCATAAAATTTCAACGGCATTTAGTTATTTTAAAAACATTCTTATTTAAACTCTAATGATAGGGGTTAAGTTAATTGATTTCATGTAAAATACAATTATTTAATTAAATAACTCCTTTGTCCACATTAAAATTTTGAATAGATTAATCTATATACGCAGTTTTAACTGATTTATCATATGAGCATATATACAATATATATGATTTGATTCATCATCAAATCGCTTCCGTAAAATTAACCAATTTTTTTTTGCGTTTGCATAGAGCCATAATCACTTCAAATAGTACCATAGTCTGGAAATTTTAATCATACTTTTTTTTTCTAAGTGCATATATGATTTATCATATGATAATGATTCATTACATTCTGAAGCAGTAAAAGATATTTTTAAGAGGGAATTTTAATTTAAAAAAATCATTTCTAGTTTTGAAAAATCAGGTGCGTGTAATTGCAAAATACTGACAATTTTTTTAGATGAAATATTCGTGAATTTATAATTGTATATGATGTTATTTATGAATGTAGCTGTAGATAAAGTGAAGTTGTAGAAGAATTTGAAATTGCACAAAGTGTTATTAAATAGTTCAAAAACAAACTAAAACACTCTTGGGGACAGCTATTAATCGTCTTTCTTTCAATAAGAACACAACTTCTTCACCGTAATTCAAATTATTCCCTTTATTTTCTTTTATCTTCAATTACGTAGATACACCTCTTAAGATTTGTTCTAAAACTAGTCTAACGACCAGCGTTTTTGAAAATTGCCATAATTTATGCGGAGATGACAGATATCCATCTGATCTATAGAAAAAACACACATGTCTCTCAGTGCGTGAAAGATTCTTGATCCACTGCTTTCATTTTCGAAATCACAGTTCTTTGCACGGATGAGTTTGTTTTCACTTCAAAAAAGGCAAGAAAATAGCTTCTCTTTTCAAATATGCGCTCTAATGACGAATGAGAAGCTAATGTTAAAGTCACTCAACTTCTTATGTTAGTTTAACTGTTATATCTTAAGTATACGGTTAACGGTTAAAAGGTTTCATTTCTTTTATTATATTGAATTTAATGTCTGATTGGTTTTTATTTGTATTTCGCCTGTTTTAAGGCAAGAATATTTGTTATTAGCTTGGAAAGCTTCCGGTTATCTATAATAAAGTTTAAAAGATCCGTAAGAATAAACTCATCCAAAAAGAATAGAGAAATTGAGTGTTACCTTTCCAATTCATGGCTTTAAAGGTCAACAGCAATTTCATCTACCTAATACGCTTAATGTTGTCTATAAATTAAATACACATTTTTTTTCTCCTTTGTAATGAAAATGTTATCAATAAAGGATTATAATTAGTTCATAAGTAGATTAGTTAATTAAATTTTCAAACATAAATATACTATTAATTAAAAAGATTAAAACTATTCTGTAAGAATAAATAAAGTACAAATGCTGATTAATTAGATATAAGTTAATCGATAATTTTTTTTACACCCAGTAAAGCTCATTTAGCTTTACTGGGTGTAAAAACATAAGGTAGCAAACATAAAACAATTTGCTATTGTTTTATGTTTGTTACTTATTATTATTGTTTTATTTAAGAATTTATAAACATCAATTAATATACTAGATTAACTATTGTTGGTTTTTTACCTTTTTTTAGAATGTTTCTTATTCCTTAAATTTAATTAAAATAGAAAATTTTTTATTAATTATTTTAATGAATTCAACGAAATAAGAGATGTGTCTCTTATACGTAAGGCACAATTTAAAAAAAAAGTTCGTAAAAAAATTAAAACACATTAGTTTGAAAAAACGTAGTTAGATTTATATTTTTAAATATAAAAATAAATAATAAATAAGATATTAAAGAAAATATTATTGGAAATAAGTTATAATTCTGAACATAAGAATTTCTGAACATTTACACTTTACAGTAGATTAGAAAATCATTAATTTTTGACGGATCATATGAATTATGCTAAGTTTTAAGAAAATGATTGGGTATGAAAAGTCTTAAAAGTCTTTATCTAAAAAAGACTTTTAAGAAAAAATAATAATGCAAGAAAAGCAATTACGGGAAGTGATGCGCTGAACTTCCTAGTAATTCTTTTTTAATTATCTTTTAAGTTACTTAACTTATTTTGCTTTGCAAATTTTTATAATTATAATTAAATTACATTTAGAATACTTTAATAATGTATTTAATTACTTTGTATTTCATTAGTTAATTTATTAGGCAATTTATTAGTTATTAATTTAAATTAAAGATTAATTGAAAAGTAAATAACTTCACTATTTGGATAAAGAAAAATAAGTTTTGATTCTATTGGAGAATAATGTTGAAATGAATAAACACAACGCAATCTGTTGCTTATGGCATAGAGAAACAATATCTGGTAAAGTTACTGCACTATATGGTAATGACATGTCTGGTAAGGAAAAAAGAACTTAATTTTGGTAATAATATTAAAATATACTTTATTTAAAGCATTCTTAAGGAAACTTTACATTCATATGGTTACGGTTTACCGGAAATTCTGGTTTTCAGGTTGAAAATTCTTATTAACAGACGTTTGTAAAAAATAAAAAGCGAATAATTAAATTTAACCAAATAAATGG